AGAGGAAAATTGTGGAGAAATCGCAGAATGGGGGGGGACGGGCGAACCGAAGGGAAGAAGGCTGCATGCAGCCTTATCCAGACCGATCCCGGTCCGAAAAAAACTGTCAGTGGGACCGAGCGTCCAATCAATTCAGAGATATTCTCAAATGGAGATATACAGACCGAAGCCGGTCCGTATATATTTACTTAAATAATATTTTATTCATATTTTTTTGTATATAATATTTATTTTTTTCAGAAACAATATTCGGACCAAAAACGGTCCGAATATTATTGGCGGGTCTATACTGTGGACTCCCGCCAGAAATATTTTTTGGTATTTAATATTTATTTTTTTCACAAATAATATTCGGACCGAAAACGGTCCGAATATTATTGGCGCGTCTATACTGTGGACTCCCGCCAGAAATATTTTTTGGTATTTAATATTTATTTTTTTCAGAAATAATATTCGGACCGAAAACGGTCCGAATATTATTGGCGCGTCTATCCTGTGACTCCCGCCAGAAATATACGGACCGATACCGGTTCGAATATGTTCACTAAGTATATTTTCCCCACCTGAATATATTCAGACCGATATTGGTTCGAATATTTATTTTTTCGGACCGACACCATTCGGTCCGTATATGGTCGGTCCGTATACGTCATTTTTCTAGTAGTGTTTGTGGGTTCGACATTGTTCTCATCATTATATTACTTGGAGCAATTAGTACACTTATTAAGGTGATTTTAGTGTATCACCTCCCTCAAGTGCTTAAGTGCTCATCATTGACGAAAGAGACAGTGACAACCTAAGTCTACAAGATCCCTTGCTCCCACCGAATTCCATCTTTCTTCTCTTTAATACTAAAAATATGAGTTCTTCAGATTTGTGAATAGTGGGTTCAAGGAGATTTGTGGCTAACGAAGAACTTAGTGGTACTCAAAAGAAAAAAAATTAATATTTTTAGAACTTGACAAAAAAGAATCAGATTAAAAATTTTTGGGTTAAAAAAAAAATTTAAAACTTTCTACTGATGGGATTTTAGAGATAAAGCAACTCGGTGCTTAAATTCGCCCATATCCTATCATTGCCTAATTGGTCAGCTTCTGAGATGATGACGACTGAAACTACTTCTCCCTCTCTTCCACATAAGCAACTAGGTTACAACCCTTTAAAAGATTGTTCAAATACACAGAGGAGAGGATATTGCCCCCAAAATTTCCCTGGCAAGACTTCTTCTTACAGGCTGTTTGGAAACAGGAATATCATGCTACGTAAATGAGTGGATGCTAGGTCTGGTATTTTCTCCTCTTACTCCCTATTGGTAAAAAATGTCACTTTAGATAGAATGTGTCCTGTGGGTGTCGAACCTACGGGTAAGCCTATCATCGTCCAATGCTATAAATATAATAATCATAATAATAACAAATATATAAAATTGTTTTATAAACCCAATTCGCCCATAAGATATACTTTAACAAGCTATTAATAAATATAGTAATTAGTTCAATAGGGGAGCTTGTTTTCGTGGAAACTATAATAAGTTTGCATTCCTGTCATAATAAGACCTACTAAGGCACCGAGCAAGACCAAGAAGGTCCATGGACTCCTAAAATAAGTGTAAGTGAGTTTAGCCTCGACGCTGGCCCTTAGACTGCTTAAGTGTGATTTCTTGCTGTTGCAGTATTCATGAATATCACGTTGCAATTTTGAGTGCATCGTAAGATTTGACACCAGGATGTTGCTGATCTTGTTGAACAGCTCCGCTACAGCTTCATCGCTTCCTAATCCGTTGTGCAACACGCCGGTATCTCTCAGTTCCTTCACATCCTCCCCATTATCAATCAAGGAGTCGAGGAATGACAAGTGCGAGGTGATCTCGTACTTTCCTTCGAAAACCGGACACAGCTCATACGCTACCAAATTCAGCAACATTGGCATGGTTGTATTGTGCAAAAAAATGGGAACCAGCGTAAGGGTTGGCATCTAACAACAGCTATTGAAATCAATGTCTGTGATGGCACCTCCCTTTTCCCTCGCTTTAAAACGAATACCCTTGTCTTTCAGCTTCCTTACGTTGCGATTTGAGTGCCAGGGTTTGCTATTATCAAAAGTCAGTACTTTCTGCAAAAAATCTTTGTTAATCTCTTCTTGTTTCTCACCCTTCTCTTTCGATTTGACTCCCATCAGTTTTCTTCGCAACAAGTATAGAGGATGAGTAGCAAAAGTCAGTACTTTCTTCCGCAAACCATCTTTGTTAATCCCTTTTTGTTTCTCACCCTTCTCTTTCAATTTGACTCCCATCAGTCTCCGTCGCAACGAGTGTAGAGGATGAATAGCAAAAGTCAGTACTTTCTTCCGCAAACCATCTTTGTTAATCCCTTTTTTCTCATCCTTCTCTTTCGATTTGACTTCCATCAGTCTTCTTCGCAACAAGTCTAGAAGATGAGCAGGGTCTCCTTCTTGTTGTTGAGAATGATCAACCCAAATTTGGTGTTGTTGCTGCGCAGTCAGATTCAAGTAAATCCTATTGATGAATTCGATGATTAAGTCGTTGAATAACTTCTTAAGTTTTGGTGCTAATTCTGCACTTGAGAATTCAGCGAACGTGTCTATCAATATCTGAAGAAGTTGGTAGGGCAGTTGGTTCTCAAGTACGAAAAAATCAACCTTCTCGATGCCGACTAGATCTTCAGTACCACTGAATTCCTGCCTCTCATTGGTCACATCAAGGACTATGAAATGCAACAATGCACAGCCATTCACTAGGAAAACCGAGACCAACGAGGGGTTGGATCAAGTGGTAAGCGGCTTGTTCCAGCTTAAGCAAAGTCTCGAGTTCGAGTCCTTATGTATGCAGCAGCCCCCGCTGGGAGACTCACCCACCATTTCCAGGTGCGTGACGCGGGTCGGGTCCGGATTAGTCGGGGCGAAGCCCCGGATACCGGGCGAGAAACAAAAAAAAAAACTAGGAAAACCGAGTTTGTTTTTTTTTGAAATAAGGAAAAACCGAGTTTGTTTTTGGAAATGGGTTAGAGTACCCCTTGTACTCAAGTTATTAATATAATTCTATTGGAAAAAAAAAAAAAAAAGTGTTTGGAACCCAACAATCCCTACCAAAGTTAGTATTTTTGCGTGGCAACTTGTTCAAGATAGAGTTTCAACAAAATTCAATCTATATAAATGAGGTATTGTGAGTGATTATAATTTAATAGAATGTGTGTTTTGTCAAGATGGCATTGAGACTACTCAACATTTGTTTATACATTGTGAGTTTACCTGAAAGATATGGGGTAAACGTATGGAATGGTAAGGGAATAGGGCTGTTAAAGCAAGTAGTTGTTGAGAATATTTTCAACAACAGGATTCTTTGTTTAAGGACAAAAATGTGAGAGAGGTATGGGTGCTGGTTTTCTTGTGGTGAAACCCTATGTTAAGTCCTTAAACTTATTCTAAATTTTTTATTAAGCTCTTAAACTTTTATTGAAATAAATGAGCCCCTAAAAGCAGTAATTTGAGTAATTTAATATTTTTCTCTACAACAAACTTAATATCTATTTGTATCTGGCTTGCATGAATAAGATATTAATATGTGATTGCTTATATGATAAGTATTGATCTTGTTTACATAGACTTGACACAACAAAAGTTAAATTTGTCGTAAGGAAAATAGATAAATTGCTTAGATAATAAAATTTAAGTACTTATATATTTTAATAAAAATTTAAAAATTTAATTAAAAATTTAAAATAAATTTGTGAGTTTAATGTAGGTTTCGCCTTTTCTTGTAGATGGAACATTTGCTGCATTGAAATAGGTTTGTATTTCAAGAGAAACCGCCGGGGGAAAATAGGTTATTTGAAATTATACAAATAGTCTATAAATGGATAAAGGCAAGAAAAGATAATTGGGTAGCAAGCTTATAAGATTGGTTTTTTAATGGTTTAAGTACCATTTTAGTCCCTCAACTTATCACTTTGGTACCAAAATTGTCCCTCAGCTTTAAAAAGTACCAAAATTATCCTTGAACTTTCATTTTCGGTACCAAAATGGTCCTTCCGTCAGTTA